AGGGATAGAGCGAGAAAAGGACGCCCACGTCTGCAATTTTTGATATTTCCAATACTTTTTTTTTTCTTTTTTGCTTTTTAATTAATTAAGTATTTATTTATTTATTTTCCCCTTCTTCTATATATCTCTATGATCTGGCCACGTGTACTTCATGTGACCGAAGATTGTGATCTTGAGTAATTTGTAAGCTTGTTTTTGTAGTTTCCCGTTTTTTTTTTTAATTTGTAAATGGGAAAGATGAAAATATTTTAAAGAAAAAATATTTAAATTTTCAATTTAATCAAATTTCATCTTAAAACTTAAATATGTATGGCAATCTTTAACTTAAATACATGTTGTAATTTTAGTTTTCGTTAGAAGAATTATTAGGAAAAGTTTTCTTTTTTGCGGTCAATAAATTATATACATATTTTGGTACAAAATTCATAAGATTTTAGAGAAAATTAATATTAGAATTGATTCTTTTTGTTAAAATTATAAATTTTTACTGAATTATTAAAAATTGATTTAGTGTGCCAAACTTAATTTTATTGAAATTGGTGAGTTTTTTAAAAGTTTTTATGATGCCCGAATAGAGTAGTGGAGTAAATGGATGAACCGATACCACATCTAAATGAAAGGGATCCTGAGATCATGATTAAGAAAGACTCATTTTCTGTTGTTCAATCATAAGAACTCCAAAATTTAACGTGTTTGGCTGAGAGCAACTTAGGTCGGGTGACCTCATAGTTGATTTACTAGGAAACATGTAAGTGAAGAAAAAACACTTATAAGTATCTCATATAAAGATGGTAGTGCAACCAGAAAATGTCGAGGTAATTAAGTGTCGAATCTAGATTTCAAAGCTCGAGGCTGGAGTATTACATTTTTACTTTATTTTTTGAGTACAACATGCAGAGTGGGGGATCGAACTTACAACCTCATGGTTGGAGGTATATGCCAATTATCGTTGAACTATACTCGTTTTGACACATTTTTACTTTATTTTTCCTTCCGGAGTAAGTGAATTTGAAGAAATTTGATATAGGATAAAAATTACTATGCCTATTCAAGTGTTTTAGGGTGGAACTTGATATAGCTTGTCAAGTTTATGAGTGAAAATTAAGTTTTTTCCCAAATTAGAAAGTAATATCCTCACATAATATTTCTTGTCATTTTCCTAGTAAGAAAATAAGAAACAAAAAAAAAAAAAGTGGAATGAAAGCCATATCTTTACTTTCTTTTATTAACTATTCAAAGGAGCAATCTCCATCACTTTTTATCTGTTCAACAAAATCCATACCTTTACTTTATGACTCTTATTCTCTCTTTCTATCCCTTCAAAAATCAAAATTTTTTAAGCTGTTCATATTATATTGAAAAAAAAAATCTCTCTCTCCTTCAAAATAATATTGAAAAAATAATTAATTTTGATGCACATGTTTAGTTTAGTACTTAAATTGAAAAATGAMTAAGTTTTTAAAAACTATGACTTAGTTTGATAATGACTTCATTTTTAATTTTTAGTTTTTAAGAATTATGCTTGCTTCAACTGGATTGTTTTAATAATGTTTATCACATCCCTTCAAAATACATTTGAACAAGTTTTTTTTTTTTATTTTAAGTTTTCAAAATTTAGCATAGATTTTTAAAATGTTTTGAAAAAAGTAGATAGCAAAATAAATAAATAAAATTCATGGGTGAAAGTAGGTTTAGAAGCTTAATTTTCAAAATAGAAAACCAAAAATAAAATGGTCATGGGATGAAACCTGATTTTTTTAGTTTTAAATTTTACTTTAATTTTGAAAATGTTTTTAAAAAGTAGATAATAAAATAAAGAAGGATTAAAGGTAAGTGTGTTCATGGGTTGAGCTGAGTCGGGTTGGAGGTGTTTTTGGGACCAACTCGAATTTTCGGGTTGGGAATTTGTGGAAACCATCGGGTTGTAAAACGATGGCCAACCCAAATCCAACCCAACCCAATAAATTCGGGTTGGGTTGTCGGGTTCTTTTTTTTAATTGATTAATTAATTTACTTTTGTTTTGTTTATAACATTGACCAAAAAAATATAGAAAAATCAAAATCTTAAGCACAAATTCAAATCCTAATTGAAACCAACATGTAAATCCTAATTTAATACAAATGTTAAAATTTTACATTATCCAAAGTTTATCTAAAGTCCAAATCCAAATTGAAACCAACAAAGCCCTAATTCAACAATATTAAAAGATTACACTTTATTATAGGTAGAGATGGGGGAGAGGAGATGAAATTGAAAATGTTAGAAGAGAGGGAATCGAATATTAAAATGGAGAGGATTGAATTGAAACCTAAAATAATGATTGAGATTTAATGAAATGGATGGATGAAATTGAATATAAAAAACAAGATTTTAATTAATAATTAATAATTTATTATATATATGTAATATTAGATTATTAGTAAAAAGAAAAAACTATAATCTCGGGTCGAATCGGGTTGACCTAGGATTTTCAAAGGTCAACTCGAGACCCGACCCAATCCGATCGAGTTGGAATTTTTCCAACCAAACCCAAACCAATGTTAGATTCAACCCAGATTGGGTTAGGTTCGTCGGATTCATTGAATTGTCGGGTTCCTTGAACACTCCTATTAGATAAAAAATAATATTTGTAAACTTAATCTTTAGAGCCTAAAAAAAAAAAGAAGAAGACCCTTATTCCATTTATCTATTTTTGAAGAAGCCTTTTTCAAGGGACAAAAGTTTTTTGGAAGTTTCTTATCAAACCTTTATCAAAAGAGGAGGGAAGAAGGAAAAAGGGAAGGGCTAAAGTGATAAATTAAGTTTATAATTTAAATTTATTAAGTGGATCACTATAGTATTGCCTCAACTTAATAAATTTAAATTATAAACTTAATTAAAAAAGAAAAACGTCTACTTAACACTAAAATAATAGTACATTAATATTTTTACGAACTCAAAAGATTGATTAGTTTTAAGAGTAATTAGGATCACACTTATTATTACTATACAATTTAATGTATGAATAGATCGAGCTATCAACTCGATCAAAATTGACTTTGAATTAAGTTGGGTAGACTTATATGCCACATAAAATTAGTCACATGTACTAATTTTATTAAAAATATAAAATGACAATGTTGTTAGATTTGCAAATTACTGCATTGTTTTTCAATTTTATTGGGTTAAATTATAAATTTAGTCTCGAACGTTTAAACATTCAAACATTTCAATTTTATCTTTAAACTTTGAATTGCGATTATTTAAGAATTTCACATAATTTAAAAGTTAAATTAACGAGTGATAATTTGATATAAGGTGAATAGAAAAATTGAATATAAAGAAGAAATAGAGAAGTTAAGGAAGAATACATTCTAAATTTAAATTTTTGCTAAATCAACTGACATTTTTTTAAAAGAACAACTGAATCGCAGAACTAATCATCATATTAGTAAATTAAATTGTAAATTTGAATTTCTAAATATGACAAAAATTTCTCTCTTATAGTATAATATGCCCTTTTTTTTATCAATTAAGTTTATCACTCAAATTCCAATATAAAATATAAAGTAAATCGTTGATATGCAATTTCTGAAATGATTGACAAAAGTTATCAGTAATATACCAATATAAATTATACTATTACTACTAATATACTACTTTCGCCTCATTGGTAAACTATATCATTTATATACAAAATACGAACTACATCATTAATATATGTATATCATTGTTAAATTAACTCTTTACGTTGATATCTGTTGATGGAATTTTTGGAAACTGATCCGATCGAAAGTCGGGGTTAATCGAAACGCATGTTCCGAGCGGTTCGACTGTCGAGTGATCAAGGAGAGGTTGGATATAGTTAGGAGAAGCCGTGACTCGATGGATTGTGAATAAGGGAATGACGAGACCTTATTATTTGGAAGATCGAGGGAGTTGATAGTCTACATGAGATATTGGCTCTCAAAGTGGAGCTGAATGCAACCTACAAAAAGAGAAGGTGAGTGGATGTCGACATGATGTTGGCTTACCACATTTCGATGCTTAAGTCAGTATATGAGCTTAAGAGGGGATAAGTAAATAATGGCTCGAGAGGAAATGACATACCTTGAAAGGTGAGAGACATTTTCTATTTATAGGAGATGTAGTAGTGTGAACGAATTGACGTGGGCAGAGTTGACCTGTTGAAGTCGACCTATAAGCCGAGCTATAATCGACCTATAATGGTGGCTGAGGTGAGGCTGACCTATAACAGTGGCTAAAACAAGGTCGGCCTATAAGACACTCAATATGGCGTGGAGGTGACTGCATGTTTATAGGCCGCTCAATATGGGACATAGGTGGCTGCACACCTATAAACCATACAATATGGTGCGAAGGTGGTTGTACACCTTAGGCTGCTCAATATGGGGTGTAGGTGATTTTGTATCTATAAGTTGCTCAATATGATGCAAAGGTGTCTACACAGCTATAAGCCGTCTAATATGGGATGGAAATGGGTGTGCACCTATCATCAGCTCCATGGCATGACCATAAAAGATAGGTGTCCAGACTCCGCTGTAGCGTACGATCCAACAAGTCGCACTATGGGGCTCGACGACCCTTTCGGATGCAGGACGCACAATATGCCCCTCGCAGTCGTTCGACGTGCGACTATATGGTATTTGACCGCACAATGCACGTGCCAGGACAGCTTCCCTGTGCACCGATTTTGGGTGACCTAGAAGGCCGATTTGGACATGATTCTGACCTTAGTTGGATTTATTTTAGCTGAGTGTTTCTTCCACCCAAATTCGAAATAGATCTCACTTGACTTGTGCTTACTCAACAATATCACTCTTGGAATTGCTAAACATGTTATTAACAAATTTATAATTATACCATTATATTATCATAACATAATCTACTTCGATAAAATTCAAGCTTAATTGGTAAGTAATTAAAATCGTGATCAGTTCAAATTTCTACCGCACATGTTGCACTGCACAAATAAAAAAGGTTGAGGTGGGAGAAAGTGAGAGTCCACCCTCTATAGTATGTTGTAGCCCATCTAATCTAACTCTTCTTTCTCTCTCTTCTGCAATCTGAAAAACCTATCTTCTTCCTCCATTGGGTTCAATCCCACTGTTCAACAATTACCACAACCAACAACTTACTCTCAAATCCTTTCCCCATGGCTTCTCACTGGTGACAATTTCCATTTTCATGGATTCTGACCGCCATTTTCGTACCACCAGCAACAGCACTGCCTCCAGCGAGCTTTTCATCTGCTTCACTTCTCGCTTGTCTTCTTCTTCCGCCATGAAGATCTCTTCCAAATCCATTCTCAGCCCCGGCCGCGCCAGAGAACCCTCCCAAATCTCCCTTTCTACTTCTCTCAGCCGCCGCCTCAAGACCAGCGGCAGCCTCAAGGGCGGCCAGGCCTCGCCGATGTTTCCCACCGGCGCCAAGAAGCGCGGCTGCGCGTTTGATAATCCCGAGCCCTCGTCGCCCAAGGTTACCTGCATTGGACAGGTTAGGGTTAAGACGAAGAAGCAGGGGAAGAAGATGAGGGCCAGATCGCAGAAGCGGAGGAGTAATTCCGAGGCGAGTTTTCGGAAATCGGAGCAGGTTCAACCGCAGACCAATGGCGGTGACCAGCAATTCGTCGCGAAACAATCGCATCACCATCTTCATCTTCATCGTCAGAATAGTAATAGCAGTGGGGGAAACGGTTTCCAGATTCAGAACTCGCAGCAGCAGGAGTGCTTGTCGCATCGGAACCAGCGATGGGTGCATTTGCCGTTCACGATTTGCGAGGCGCTTAGGGCTTTTGGAGCAGAGCTCAACTGCTTCTTGCCGTGCCATTCCTCGTGTACCAGCGACAGGGATAAGGAATCAAAGCCTGCCGCGAAGTCGTCGGAGAGCGAGAGTTCTTGCGGGACGGTGTTCGCGCGGTGGTTGGTGGCAGTGCAGGACGGCGACGGCCAGGGAAGGGAGATCGAGCTGGTGGTCGGAGACGAAGAAACTCGAATGGAGAAGGATAACGGGAGCCAGAGGCGGCATGTCTTCGAGGGAGTAGATTTCAAAGACAAGAGCGAAGTTGTGGAGGAGGAAGAAGAAGAATCCAGGATCAGCATTTGCATTCCTCCGAAGAACGCCTTGTTGCTAATGAGGTGCAGATCTGATCCAGTGAAAGTGGCAGAGCTGGCCAAACGATTCTGCGAATCTCCTGCGCCAAAAGTCGAAGAAGAAGAAGACGAGGAAGATGAACAAAAAGACAAGGAAGAGAAATCCAGACAAAAGGAAGCAGCAAAAATGGACGCGCCTCTCACTGTGATACTGAGTAACGATGAAGACGAAGAAGAAACGAAAGTTGAACTAAATGTCAAGCTTAAAAACGATGAAGAAATGAGTGAAGAATCTGTTTCTGATGGCGAAGAAGAAAATTATTTAGTTTTGCAGCAAGAAGAAGAACATAACGAGGAGGAAACCCTAGAAATAGCCACAGATAACGAAATCGATGTACAGAAATTAGACATTACTGTAAATCACCACAATCAAGAAGAACCAGCAGAGGACGAACAAGAAGAAGAAGAAGAACACGAGAACAACAACAACGACGAAGATAATCAGCCAGAGGAATTAGCAGAAGAAACAAGGGCGATTCCATCCCACTGTGATCCGGAGCTGGCTCAAGATGCAGAGAAAGTAGAATCAGCAGAAGAAGAAGACGAATCCAAATTTCTCCATGGAAACGAATCCATCAACGAAATAGAAGACGACGAAGAACAGACTGAAGAAGAAGGCGAAAATGGCGGAAATCCCGCATCGCCTTCGTTATCAGTTGAGACAGAAAGAGCAGCGGAAGACATGGAAGAAACTGAAGCTGATGTAAATTGGGAAGAAGAAGAAGAAGAAGAAGAAGAGACGATTCATTGGGAAGACAGAGAGAAAGCGACAGAGGAAGAAGGAATGAGACCCGACATCGGAGACGGCGGCGCAATGGAGGAGTCAAAGGAGCGAGAAACTCCGGCGGCGGAAGCGAAGAGAGAAGCAGAAACCGGCGTGCTCCCAGATTGCTTGCTTCTGATGATGTACGAACCGAAGCTATCAATGGAGGTTTCGAAGGAGACGTGGGTTTGCAGCACGGATTTCATCAGGTGCGTTCCGACGAGGGA